CATCCCCCTCAAACTTAAGGAGCATAAGAGAAGGAATGATAACAGCCTTGGATTCATTCAGGGTGGGACGCCCCAAAATCATGTTATAGGTCGTCAGCTCTTCAACAACTAAGAACGGACCACCATGTGGCGTCCCTCCCCTTTTTCGCCCAGACGAATGGGTAATTCTATTCGACCTACCAGATGTACAACTCCTCCCCAAATCCCACTAAGGGATGAGAGACCGGGTGCACACTCTCGGGCTTGTACCTGAGTTTGGCCAGGCACTTGTGACTGATAAGGTCAGACGAACTCCCAGTGTCAATGAGGATCCGGCCAACTCTTTGGTTGTCCACTTTGCATTCGATGACAACAGGGTTATCATGTGGCCTCCTGATTTTGCCCTTGTCATCCTTAGTAATAACGACTTCAGGGAAGGAGTCCTTGGACGCCTATCCCTCGTCGACTGAGTTAACATCGAGCCGCCTGACATAGTCTTTATTACCCCGGATGGTAGGGCGCCTCCAGCGAAGCCGCCTTCTATGGTATAGATCGGAGTTTCATCAGTATCCGAACTATTAGCAGAGTGGGGCTTCTTTTTAGACGGCTACCCAGTGTTAGTTTGTAGGGTAACTTTGGACCTCAGAACATAGGACTTGAGTACCCCTTTGTCAGCCAGGCGGTCCAACAGATGCTTGAGGCTATAACATTCGTTGGTGTCGTGGCCAATATCCTCATGGTAGTGGCAGTATTTGTTTTTGTTCCGATTTTTAGCAGAACCTTTCATAGGGGTCAGCTTCTCAATGGTAACTCGATCCTTAATCTCCATGAGGATGAAGTAATTGTCACTATTGAAATCGTACTTCGGGGAGTACGTTTTTGCTTCTTTCTTTTTCTTTTAGGATGGCTGTTCAGTAGTATCAGCCACCCAGACTTCGTTTCTTTGCTTTTCTTCTTTCTTAGCCGGCTGTGATGGCCGACTCTCTCTCTTATCAAACGTCTTTGAGTCTGACTACTTACTGATGTTATAGAGCTCGGTCACCTGTCGATAGGCGTTCGCCTCCATCAGTGCCTCTTGGAGGCTAGCTACCCTCTTTCTGACAAGGTCGAACTTGAAGGCTGACCCGTCCTTCAGACCTTTAAAAAAGTTTGTGTAGGCTACCTCATCAGACAGTCCTTGAATTTGAATTCTCATCAGATTGAACCGCCTGATATATGAGCGTAGCCCCTCCTTCTCTTCATGTTGTATGGCTCCCAAGTCAAGACTTGTTTTCTTTGCAGGGATATTCATTGAGAAGTTTGACGCGAACAAGTATGCAAGCGTCTTAAAGTTATTTATGCACCCGGCTGGCAGGTTTCCAAACCATTGTTGGGCAACGCCCTTCAATGTGGTCGGGAAGCATCTACACCATGCCGCATCATCCAACCCTTGAAGATACATAAGGTTGGGGTATGCCATCAGGTGGTCTTCTAGATTGGTGGTACCATCACAAGTACCTACCAGCACATTTTTCACCTTGGCCGGCTGTGCGGCCTCAGTTATTTCCTTGGAGAAAGCTGAAGGTTGTTCCCCAAGTCTTAGCTGTCGGAGCTGCCAGTCCAAAGGCTGGATATTTTGTGCCATGTGCCCCCCGAAGAGGGTAGGCTGCATATATGGTTGTCCATACGGCATGTATGGCTGTTGAGGCGCATACGGGGCCGCTTGGAACATTTTGAGGACTAGAGTGGGCGGACATGCCGTTTGTTTGGTCCTCCCGGTTTGATTGAGAATACCTCATTGAGGTATTCTGAAAGCTATCATTGAAGTTCGACGTTTAGGCCGACTCTGACAGTTGCATATTCTTCTTTTGCTTGATTAACATCCGAGCATCGGAATATGTTTTCTTGACCAAATCCGGCTGAACATGCCGAATGGCCTTCCTTTTTCCTGACGCAGAGAAACGGAATTTGGTTAAGTCAATCACATGCCACTGTCTTTCCCTAGGTTTAGGGTAAGGAGTAGCCTCTCGGTCCTTGACCGGCTTGTTCCTCCCTGATTAGGAGAGCTTTTTGGCCGACTGTTCCTTGGTGGAAACAGTCGTCCGCTTATCAATTAGATCCTTGATCTCCCCTTTGAAACTTGTCATGAGGGTCATGAGCTCATTTCTTATTATGGGGGTGGATCCTTCGGCCACCTGAGGTTGACCAGCCGGCTGGTCAACTAGTTCACTAGGACCCGCCTGCTCGCTATTCCGCTCCCTCCTTTCGATGGGGCGGATGCGCCGAGTTCTAAGGGACCCGTTAGGGGCCGTATGAGTATCGACTTCGTAGTCGTCATCAGTATCCTGGTCTGAGTAGACTTGGACGTCGATCATAGGCCGTTTCACATTTGGAGGTGGTACAGGTTGTGAAGCCATCTCGAAAGTACTCTCCCCACAGACGGCGCCAAATGTTTCAGGGTTTTTTTTTGTCCTGCAGGAGTGTTACAATTCCGGGACTAGTTTCTGGACGCCTGTACCTGAAAAACAGCAGAGACTCCCGTTGGGTGGAGTTCCGCCTCCGACGATCAAGTTAGAGCGTGTTTGAGGAGTAAAGAACACAAAGCAAAAGGTCTCTCTTGGATTCCAAGAGAGTATCTGCAATGTGTTATTGCTCGATTCAAGGTGTCAGGTGTCTGACTTTCACTCAATGTATTTATGAATGGAATTAATTGTGTATTCCCGAGGGGGAAAATCTCCCTTTTATAGGGTGTTGCAAAATGTACCCAGTACTAGGATTCAGTAAAACCTAGGACTGACTGGGCTTTACCTGGGAATTTGGGCCGTTAGAGGCCCGCTTCCTGTTTGGCTATCTGTCTGCCACGTGTCGTGGCCTGATTGGTCCACCTTGGACCTTTGACGAGGTGACACGTGGCAGACTATGGTTGGTCCACGTGGATGACATGTAGCAGAGTTCTATTGGTCCACGTGGCGGGAAAAAAATCCCCCAATCACCAGCCATATAGAAATGTGCAGTTAATTATACCCGTATATTATATATACATATATATATATATATATATATATATATATATATATATATATATATATATATATATATATATATATATATATATATATGTGTGTGTGTGTAAGGGTTTTTCTAAGCTATGCCCTTGAGGTTATTGTATTTTTAAGGCGTACCTATACTTTTTCAAAATTACTAGTCGTGTCCTCCAACCTACGGTGTTTAATCAACCGTGTCTTCTGATGTTAACTCGACGTTAGTATTGTAAGAAAATGGGAAGTAATAATGAGTGGATGAGAATAAAGAAGAAGAAGCACACCGAGAGCTTGACATATCAATAGTTGGTTTTTGAATAAAGAAGATAAAGTAGATGAGAAAATGTGGAAAAGTGATTAATGTTAATCCCCTTATATAACTCTAACCCAATTTGGGCATGAAACTTCTCTCCAAAGTGGGGTAATTAACAGTAAACACAGCTACTAACGTTGGATTAATTAATGTCAAAGGGTACGGTTGAATAAAATTTGTTTGAGTACCGCTACCATTTAACAGCAAGAGTTGAAAAAACTATCTTGTTGGGCCCACTTGAACCTAACCACCCACTACTCCTCCACCCAAACAAAACCCCAACCACCCACCAATACCCTACCTGAACCTAACCCAAGTTGTCCAGCCACTCACCACTACTTCCCCCACTTGAACTAAACTAGCCACCCACCACTCCCCCCCCCCCCCCACCTGATTATGTAGGTGTAAGTAGGCGAATAGGCATTGAGGTTCCAACATATGGAGGTGAGAGAAGAGGTGATGCGACAGAATGGGATTTGGCAGCGGAATGCGCGGAGGAGAGTGAATGGGAGTACGTCAAGGTGAAGAGGAAAAACGAGGGTTTCAGGTTTGCAATGGTGGCTAGATAGGTTCTAGTTTACGGGTAAGGGCTAGTTGGGTTGGTGATCTTGTGGGGTCAATGGTGGACTAGTGGGTGGCTAGTTCGGTTCAAGTGGGGGGAGTGGTGGGTGGTTAGGGTTTAATTCAAAAGGCCCCACAAGACGGTTTTTTTAATTGTTGCCGTTAAATGGTAGTGATACTTAAACAAATTTCCAAAATAAAAAAAAGGAAGTTGTTTTATAAAATAGGAAAAATTGCCAAGAATAACCTGAACTTTGGCTCATTCGCCCAAAATAATCTCAACTTTTGATTATTTTTTAATAATCCGAACTTTAATGTGAGTTTTCTTCTAATGCTCCCAACCGGTCACCTAACTAGTTATTTTATATAACAAGTTAGATGACATGTGTCAGCGTATAATTGGTAAAAGAAAATTTAAAAATTTTAAATTAAAAATCTATAACTATAACCAAATTAATTACCACTGACATTGATCCACGCGTCAAACTCTTATAAAAAAATTTCCAGCCAAAATAACTAATGACATCATTATTTATTTTTTCAAGATAAATAAAGATTTGAAAATGATAAAAGTAATTATATTTTTTACTAAAAGATTTCTTTATATATAAATTGACTGATTACACAAATTTTCATGGAGTAATTAAACTATTTCATTTTCCTATAAATATTATCTTTCCTATTTCATTTTCCTATAAATATTATCTTTCCTCCTACTCTATATATTTTGTATAGATAGTACGAAGTTGGGGTTTTGCTCTTCATTAATTTATTATATTTTTGCTTAAATTATTTTTACTACGTACTACACACAAATAAGCTAAAAAATTTATTGTTAAAACCGTGCATCGCACGAGACTAACCTAGTAATAAAAAACTCACCATCTTCTCTCCCACCAGCCTAACCACCCTGCCCGTCCAGCTCTCCGGCCCCAGTCCCCACCCCGCCATGCCCAGACCCACCCCACCTCCCCACGTCGATGCTTCCCCTCCCCCTACCCCCGCACCGCCCCCTCAACCACCACCCCACCTTAAAACCCAAATTCCTCCCCCCGAAAAATCCCTTAAAAACCTTCTCGCACCGCATATAGCCTTAAACTACTCCCCCACCTTCGAAACCCTAGCGCTAGTGTTTTGAAGGTGGGGCAGAGGCGATTTGGGGGATTATATAAGACGCGGGAGGGGTTTTTTAGCCTTTTTTAGGGTAGGAAGCTGAGGGGGGTTTTGTGGTGGGGTTTATGGTTTTAGGGGGCGACGCAAGGGGTCTGGGCGAACGCCGGCGCAAGGGAGGGGGGTTTTGGGTGCGGCGAGTGTTGGGGTGGGGAAGGTGGCTAGTGGTGGTGGTTTTTTTTTAATTTATTTTTAAAATAATTAGTTTATAAGTAACTGATAATCTTTTCTAAGTGTTAATTATAATTTTTGAGCAATCACATGGTGACACATGTAAGTTAAACTTGAAAAAAAAAAATTACCTATTCTACCGGTTACTGGTCACTTGGGGCCTTTGAGAATAATTTCACATTAAAGTTCGGATTATTTTAAAATCATCCAAAGTTGGGATTATTCTGGGCAAATAAGCCAAAGTTTGGATTATTCTAGGCAATTTTTCCTAAAAACAAAAAAAAAAATTAAATGGTAGTTGTTTACAAAATGTGCAAATTAAATGTTAGTGGTTTATAAAAAAAAAAATCCATAACTAAACAACTTGAATTATATGTAGCACATACAATCAAAAATAACTCATCCAATTGGGACAAATTATGATGTCCAATACAGTACCCAAAAAAAAAAAAGGGATAATTAAAAAATACGAAGGTAAAGCATATCAATCTGCCATCTATATATAATTTCTTGCCTTGTAAAGAAAACGTTATAAAATAAAATAAAAAAACCTCAGACATCATATGCGTTTTTAGTAACAAGCATTAATTGAACAAATCTATAAAATTGTTCCATCAAGCCACTCCAATGTTGACAAAATTTTACGCAAAAACGATCTAAAATCTTCATCAACAATGGCATTCCCTGTTATCTCAAGCTGAGTCAAAGTTAAATCTCTAAAGATTATATAAGCCTCCCAATATTTTGTCAGTTGGTCGACATCACCCGACGATAGGCCCAACTTCCAATCATTTGCTACTGTGTGAGACAAAGAAGAGGAACACAAGTACCTGGTGCTGTCAATTGAATGCTCCCCAATCTTGTTGTGCGAGATATTTAGCACTTTAAGCAACTTCAAATGCCTCAACGGATCTAAAGCTGTAAAACTCTTGATCTTGTTATTACTCAGGTTCAAACAAGAAAGAAGTTGCATTGCTTCCAACCCTGTGACAAAAAGCAAGTGAAAATTTACAGCTTTCACAAAGTAGAGCAAGATCGCTGTTGAGACAATCCAAAACCAAAAGATCTTAATTAATTAATGACACTGTCCCAGCGCCTATAGGTTAAGGATATAGCACAATCCAAAAGAACCTTTAATAGCTGGACCGTAATCACTCTTCCTCTCCATTCAACCTTAGTCGTGATATTTTGGAAAATTAATCACATCTTGAGATAGAATATAGCTAATTTTCAAAGTAAAGACAGTAGAACTACATAAAGGACTGGTAATGAAAATTTTCTCATTTGCTCAGGTATTTGCACGTATGCAGCAGAGAAATGGACTTTTTAATGAGTGCTTTTGTGCTTCATTTACATGACACACCATTTTCCTATAGTTTATCATTACACTATGAATCAGCAGGATTCCTTTCAAAATAGTTTAGCACAACTTAAACAGCTGAAATGAATTTCAAATCTGAATATAAAGTGAGACATTACTATGAGATATTTAGAAGCAGTTTCAGATATTTATAAATTGGGAAATGAGTGGCATGGCATTTTACACATACATCAGCATCACAGCTAAAGCTGAAACCTAGCAGGCTACAGATAGACCTTTCAGAAGCAAGAACAACAGTTTAGGACTTAGGAGCATTACCTTCAACCGATCCAAGTTCGTTTTGGCTTAGATCTAGCATTTGAACCCACAACAGATTTTCAATGGACCCAATTCTTGCTAGCGATAAGCTATTTAAACGCACGCATATAAAGCTCTCATTATTTGTTTTGGCTATTTTCCCATAGTGCCAACAATATCTCGACAAGCTGTCCTTGCAACAAGTAACCTATAGATCAACAGCACAATCAATTTAGGTATTGGGATAATTCGATTCACCAAAAAACAAAAGGAAGATGCAGCTTTACTTGACAGTTATTTGTTTAGATGTTTAGTTAGTATGGATACAGCTTCATTGAGGGTTACAAGGGGTGCATCAAGGAAAATTCCACGTTAACAATGACAGCAACGATTCTCATATGTTAACTTGAAGACATTTGTAGAAACAATAAGTAGTGGCCAGGTAACTGCTATAATGACTCATGTGCTAGTATTTTAATCCAATGCTAATATATCTTGCTAAAAAAAGCCAAAAAAAAAAGCTTATTTTGCTCTAAGGACGACATCCTAGTTAACAAAACATTTATGAGATATCCTTGGAGTCATGGGACTCGTGATTGTTCTGGCTCTTCTCTATGCCATGCCCTCATCTTTGTTGTACGGAATAATAGATTGACAAGGAAATGATAAGCAATAAGATATCCTTGTAATACATGTGGATTTCATCTTCATTGCAACCTGCAAGACACTCTTGGTATGCAAGGAAAAAGGTCGCCTTCTCCAGATAATTATGATAAAAGACTCACCTGTCGTAGTAAGGCCATACTATGCTCTTCTTTATAATATTTTGAGTGAGGAGGGTCCATTTTCATCAAATCACAATACAAAGCCATAACTTCTTCAGTATGCACCATCTGAGAAGAATTTAAAGTGCTGCTTTCTGAAACAATTTTATCTAGTGCTGTCAACAACCTTGCAAGTGTAAGCTTTCCTATTTTGCTGCAAACACAAAAGCAGAGGGTAAGAAAATATGCATCAGCATTGCCTACTCATTTTTTTACATCATGAAATGCAAGTAAGTTCTAAATAGTTAAATGAGACATACCAGTCTGCAGCTGAGAGTTCACGGAAGAGCTCAATCTCATTGGCCAATATATTTACTTTCCACTTAGAATCAACACCTGCTTGATCCGCGTCAATTTGCAATTGGTTAAATAATGAGAACAGATTTGATTCCCCAGAGTCCATTTCATATTTTTGAAAATTGGAATCTTCCCACAAAATTACTTCTAGATTCTGCCCATCAGCCTCTCCTGAATCGTGTTGCTGAAAGCGGACTACAAATTTAAATTCAAACACATGACTTAAGGAGCTCCCACTCAAAGAGATGATCTCAGAAGAGTCTCCCACACGAACTTCAACTGGATAAGCAATGGAATAATCAAGTGGCACATCAGAAAAATTAAGCAGTGCAACCCAGGCCTGGGCACTCTCATATTTGTCTACGGAAAGAGGTCTCCAAATGATATCTTTACTTTCTGCTAGGGAAGACCTGACAGCTACAGTAGAAGAGTTCACACCTCTAACAGATTGGTTAAAATATAGAATCACAGGTATTGTTCCCCCATCAGTGGAGTATCTTGCAGATGACGAAACCATACAACCAGATGCTGACTTGCTTGCTGATATAATGAGCTCAGAATCAGAAGCAGGCCAAGATGAATTCAACCAAGGAGTATCCTTCGTGATTGTTTGCTCAAGAAGCCAAAGATGATTAAACCAGCCACTTTGGTCATCGGAATCAGTGAATATTGCTTGGTGCACAAGGTCGTACTCCTCAGCTAAGATCTTCTCTTTAGGAAAATATCCCTCGGCTTTTTGTTTAAGTAAATTTGACAGTAGCACACTGGAAAACCAGTAAACCAAAACTAATGAGATATGTAAAAAAATACAGAAGGGAATCATGGATCACATGCAAGTGTAGAAGCAAGTGTTAACCAAAATTCACTGATGGTCTCTATCACGTCAAACCAGAAATTCAGATACGCACACCAAATTCTCAGCCAACCACAAAACGAGAGAAACTAGTAACATAAGATAGAATGAGAAGATTATACCTGCGGTTATGCCAGGCAGAATAATTGCTGAAATTTGTTTCAATCATATTGGTGGTATACTCCAGTTCATCTTCATCTGCAATATTCTTTAGCGCTGCCACAAATCTGAAACACCACAGATAAAATATAAAAATCATTATACCAAACCATACTGTTTCAGACTACTACATATAAACAACAATGCAGTTTTCACCTGCGATAGTTCCATGCGTGAAAATTCCGGGCATCAGCCTTCTGAAACTTATCTAAGAGTCGTAATTCATTGTCTACGGATGAATGACCCTTGCTAAGAACCCATTTACGATGATGCCATGCTCCATATGACTTAAAATTTTGTCTCAGCGCACTCTCTACCTAAATTGATGTCAATTAATTTGATTAAAAACATAGCCACCAATTGCTAGAACCTAAAATAAATCTTACACCAGCCAGAAAATTTGCAATCTTCTGACACTTAGAGACTATCAGGACTTGACATCAACGAAAATATCTTCAATTATGGTAAGGTAAAGTTAACACTGTTAAAAAATTTCCACAGCAACCCAGGATATTAAAACGCATTGCGAAACTCGAATTCAATCAAAATCATCCCAAAGCCACAAACATAAACCATTCCACTACATATATTCATATATCAAATCGCCTATAAAACCCAAGATCTGAAACCCTAAAAGTCTTCACACATTTTCCAGAAATCACAAAAATTACAAAGCACCTGATAACTATCTACGCAACATTAAAATTGAGCACAAATGTACATATTCAAAGCACTTTTAAATGAAAGACTTACAACACGGAGTTCCTCATTCAAAATTGACTCGGGATCGGAGCCGGGTTGACTCAGAAAATATTCAACAGCGAGTTTTCGATAATTCCAGGCAGTGTAGAATTCTGGATTGGTCTCAAGCAGCTTAGCGCTGATTTCTACAGCTTCTTTGTCGAAACTGAAACCCCAATTCAATCAATCAATCAAACCCCAATTCAACCAAAAAAAATTATCCATCAATTTGATTATTGAAAGGGAAAGAGTAAGAGATGGAGAGTACTTTCGACTGTGATGATAGTTGAGAAATTGAGATTGAAGGGCACGTAATTTAGAGGCTTTAGCAGCAGAAGCTGCTTCATCTTCGGGCTTTGAAGGGTTTCTAGGCCGTCCATGCATTATCCAACAATGTCACACCTACTGCAAACGAAGAAATTTAAATGCTGAAATCAGAAAATTTATAAGAAAAATACAATAGTGATTGCTAATAGATAGATAGATACATGAAATTAGGGTTCGTTCCCTATCATTTTCCGTTTTCAGTTGTTTATTTATTATTTTATTAACACCAGACACCAATTTAAGTTTAGTTTTCATTTTTATACAAACAAATTACTGCAAATTTACTACTACTTCTTCTAACTTTAAATTATGAAAATGAAAGTACAATACATGTATTAGATCAGCGGATTCAACACAACTGAACCAAGAAAGATAATGGCGAAAAAACATTAGCTGAATGGCAATACAAAAGACTAGGAACAATAAACTTTCACATACACAATTCATCCATCACAATAATTATGAACTAATTTCAATTTGTATATCACCTATTCAAAATAAGCAATTTTTCAATTCAAATAATAGCATTCCAACTGTTTAATACAATGTATTTAAATCGTAACTCTTAAATTTTAAGAAAAAAACAAGTAAATTATAATTATAAACTGAAATCTGGAGTTTAGTTTGACAATGACAAATAATATCTGAAATTTAATTGAACATTGTAATTTTTAGAAAAATGTCATTCAATTGATCAAATTTGTAATTAGTAATTAGTAATTAGTTGAATGAATTTAATAATGTATACCTTGAAATTATTGGAGATCAAGATGGGAGAGGCAAGGAATCCCGTCGGTCTAAATTGCCGGTGTCGCCGTGCAGAGAGGAAGGAGATGACTTCAGAAAATCAAGAGGTTTGGGTCTTTAGGAACTCTAAAGTACTCTGTAAATGACTACGAGTAGGTTCGTTTTCCGAAACTAAGCCATTTGTTGTAAATATTAACCAAAATGGTTGCGTGGTAAAAGTATTTACAAAACTAAACTTGTAGGATAAAACGATGTCCGACCTGTTTTTTTTTTTTAAAAAAAATCAAGGTGTAAAATGCTGTTTTTACGTGTTGACTTTTTTCTATTTAATTTCGTAATTTCTGATTTAAAATTTTTGTAAAAAAAAAATTCAATATGTAAAACGCTGTCTCACACAGCGTTTTACATTTTAATTTTTTAAATGAAACAATAACCAATTTTCTGATTTTTTGTTAAAAAATAAAAAATAAATTGCAAGTGAAACGCTATCTGAGATAGCGTTTCACTATTATTTTTTTTTTAAATAAACAGGTTTTTGATTTTTTTTTTTTTTAAAAAAGGAAAAAAAAATTAGTAAGTTAAACGCTGTCTTTCACTAGCTAATTTTTTTTTTTTCTAAAACCAATTTTCTGATTTTTTGTAAAAAAAAAAAAAATAGTTTCACTAACTATTTTTTTTTAAAATCAGAAACTTGGTAATTTTTTTTAAAAAAAAAAAAAATTCAATATGTAAATCGCTGTCTGGGACAGCGTTTTACATATTCAATTTTTTTTAGAAAATTTTAAATCAAAAATTACGAAATTAAAAAGAAAAAAGTCAACACGTAAAACAGTGTCCGACACAGCGTTTTACACATTGATTTTTTTTTTAAAAAAAATTAGGGTATAAAACGCTGTCCGAGACAGCGTTTTACCCTAGAACCTTAGTTTCGTAAATACTTTTGCCACGCAACCAATTTGGTTAATATTTACCAAAAATGGCTTAGTTTGGGAAAACGTCCTACGAGTAGTCTAATTTAATGCACGGGATATAGCAAATTACAGGATTTGAAAAATATAAAGTATACATGGCCAATTAACCAAATTAAGCCTTATTATAAAGGGAAATTTGTCAAGAAATACCCGGAAGATAGGCTCATTTATGAAGAACTACCCATTTTTTTTTATTTGTTCACAACTATCCGCAGGTTTGAAAACGTTTGGGTAGCACTACCCATTAACGTTTTCCATCCAAAAAACTATTAGTGGGCCCCACATTGTACACGTGTCATTTTTTTATTGGTAAAAATTGAAAAAAAAAACCTAGCCACCCCAACCACCGTAAAACCCTAGCCCCTACCCCCAGCCACCACCAAAATCCGGCCGTTTTTGGAGGTTAAGGAGGGCGGCCGGCCGGACCACCGCAGCTGACCATCACCTCATAACAGCTCCTGACCATCTCCCCACCGCACCTCACAATAACTCCTCCACCACACTTGACCACCGCACTTGACCACCGCTTCTCCACCGCACCTGACCACCTCACCAACCTCACAACCCGCATCAATCTCAGGCCACCTGACCACCGCAACAACCTTCTCCTATCTCACACATCTCACCTACCTCACAACCCGCAAAACCCATGCCAATTAACAGCACCAGCCCACCTTCGAAACCGGCCAACAGCACCTTAACCGCCACCTTTCTTCTCGCAAATAGCAATTCACCACCAATTCACCGCAACCCATGCATCACCCAGCAACCCCTGTTCCAGCCACCAATTCACCACCAATTCACCGCCCATTCACCGCAAACAGCAATTCGGCACCCAATTTCTACGATTTCGAGCTTTAATTGCAGCAATTTGGCAAAGTGGAGAGAGAAAATGGGTGGAGCGTTGTTGGTGATGCTCTGGCTTCGAGAAGAAGAAAAGAGGAGAGAGAGAAGACGACTTGTGATGTAGGTTTTTTAGTGGTAGTGGTGGCCGGCCGTTTTCGGAGGTTTAGGAGGGCGGCCGGTGACAAGGGTTAAATCGGTCGCTACAATCTAACTCTCAATCAAACAATACTTATACGAACACCCTATAACCAAGTACAATGGCAAATAAAGGTTCGGTCCACGAGGAACGAGAGTAATTGCAAATCAATCTTAAACCTAAGCTAGTTCGAAATCAATGAAAAATGGTGTTCTAAAATACTACTAATAAGATGGAATAAATCAATAAACTAAGACACTAGGGAGAACGGGAATCCGCCTAACCATTGGTAACTAAGCAACAAGGAATCACAGAGACAAACGGGATATGCAAAGACTATAAGTCTTATCAATATCATGTGATAGGAAGACAACGGGCAATACTAAGCTTGGATTTCTCATGCACTTAACATTACTCGATACATAATCAAACCACATTCAATAATGAAATACTCAATTCACAATCTCTTGTTCAAATCAAGAATATCATGCAATCAAATTCAAGATTCTAGGTTAGCTACTCCTATTATAATGAATTAACATGCAATCGCATATAATCAATTTAATCACAATCCGTTTATCAAAATCAATCCTCAATTACATAGATTACCTAGGCCGGGTTTCATCCCGAAACCCTAGCTAGGAGACTACTCACACATATTCATAATCAAAGCAATAATGAATTCCAAAAGCATAATAGATATAAACATGAATTCTGATTAAGGAATAATAAAGCTTGATTAATAAACAAGAATGAATAATACCAATTGTATTGATGCGAATCAATGGAAAAGTTCAGAACTTTGATATCCGTCGTCAATGAATAATACAAAGAACATTCGCAAATCTTACTTCAAATCAATCCAAGAAAACTAAAATCTCTAGGAAATTCTCTAAGAAAACTAATGAATCTCTAATACTAAGAACGTTCTCCAATAACTCTCTACAAAAGCTCTCCAAACTATCTCTAAAAACTCTCTCTAGAATCCTCTTAAAGTTGGGCCTTATATACGTCTTCTAATGCGGAGAAGTCAAGCGCGCAGTTAACCCTGGATCAGCACGACCGTGCTGTATTTGGCACGACCGTGCTAGCTTGTTAGTAAGTAAACCGGATTTCTTCTTCAAATTGGCACGGCGGTGCTATATATGGCACGGCCGTGCTAAGGCCTGGCACGGCCGTGCTGAATCTGGCACGGCCGTGCTAATGCCTGGCACGGCCGTGCTGAATCTGGCACGGCCGTGCTGAATCTGGCACTGGCACGGGCATGGAAATTGGTTTGGCACGGCCGTGCTAATGCTTGGCACGGCCGTGCTGAATCTGGCACGGTCGTGCTAATGCCTGGCACGGCCGTGCTAATTCCTGGCACGGCCGTGCTGAATCTGGCACGGCCGTGCAGCATAGGCAGGAAGGTTGCAGGCACTTTGATCTTCTTAAAACAGTCACAACTTCTTATCCAGAGCTCCGTTTGAGGCGTGCAATATATCGTTGGAAAGCTCTTCAAGTCTACTTTCCAATGCAATTGGAATCACTTCATTATAATTTGTATACCGAAAGTTGTGAGCAAAATAGTGAAAAGGTGTCATATTTGTGAACTGTTCTGCCTTGCCTGCTACTTAACTTGCCTTTCAAGGCCTTGAGAACCGCAACAAAGCCTTAGCTTGGTGGACTAGGATCGATAATAGCCTGATTACGCACCAATGGTTCGGGACTCGACATAACTTGGTCAACTATACCTGTTAAAACACCAAAAACAGACCGAAACCCGTGAAGCACGTAATATGAAGGAAACGAGTGTAACAAGGCAATAAACGACCAAAACGGGCCTAAATACATCCAAAATCACCCATTTATATGCCTTAAAGCGCGCCCTAATGTGCGCTTGTCAAAATCCCCCAAGCTACACTTTTGCTAGTCCTCGAGCAAAACTAAGGGATACACACACACACATGATCAAATAAACTATTGCCATTACATATAAATCCAATTTAGCACGGAATGAAGTCAATGGATCCTACTTAGAACAACCATGCACGGAATGAAAACTCACTCAAACAAGCAACGAGACACACAATCCAAGGTATCGTTGATCAAAATGCAAACAAAGCCTAAACCAAGCATAGAGAACAAAGAAGTCATGCTTCCCTCTAAACCCAACCAAACCGGCCACGTCCTCCCCTTTTGCTTCAAATCACCACCCTAATTGGCCCCTCGTGATTCCTCGAAGGAACCGGAAAAAAGTGATATTTTGAGGAAATAACAAAGGTATCCCGACATCTCGATTACGCATAATCTTTCCATAGGGTTGAAAGGTATCTCCCTCCACCGTTTGAGAACCGAACACCTCTAAAGTCTAAGGGTCTTAAAGGGTTGTAATGTATTGGCAATGGGTAAGGTAGGTGAAAACAATTTAAAAAATGGGGTTAATTCCTAAATGAAGCGCAAGAATCACAATTCTCAAAAACAATAGTTCAAAAGATGCAATTCACATTCCACAATAAACATTGATCACACTTTTACACATCCCAAACTCTCTATGTTATACACACTCAAATCACCTTTTTCAAACTTCAAAGCTTTTATTCATATGTCCTCGCCTTTTTCACAATTCAGACGGCTTTTCTCCTTTTTTTTTTTATTTTGATTTTCTTTTCTTTTTTTTTTCTTCTTTTGTTTTTTTCAAAAACAAATTTTTCATATTACATCTTTACAATTAAGCTCACTTTCACACCTGCTCAAACCAACTATCAAACTTTATTTCTTGATTAGTAAACAATAAGCTCAACAAACCTATCTAGGTAAACGCTTCACAACTAAGGGTTGGTAAAACATTGGCCATCGGGTTTGTAACACGGTTAACCAAGAATGGAATTAAAGCTCAACATGGTTAGCAAGTAAGATGATGTAAAAAGAAAATCAATTTGTAACAAAACAAAAGGAACAAAATAAGAAAAATGAAAAAGGTGCCCTCTTCCTCCCTTATAAGTGTCAAGTCGGTCTCGGGAGCTACTAGTCAACACAAAGATCGAAAAATGCGTAATCAAGGATCCAAATATGCCACTCAACAAGAATGATGAAGGCTAGAACAAATGAACCTCACCGGATCTAACAAATAAAGCAACTACCAATCAAGGGGGTCAAATCCACAACCGGGAAGCGACTCCATCTTACCACAGCCCAAAGGCATAGAGTTTCAC